ACCCATATCACATCAGAAAAAAGTGCTAAGTGCATGTATTTAGCAAAGAGGGTGTCTGCAAGGAAAAACAAAGATGGTGAGGCCCTTTTACCTCCAATTTAGTCCTTGTTGGCCTGTCCACCAGCCGCACCAGTGGCTGCCGCCATCTGCTGTCACTGCTGGGAACGTTGACAAGATGTCCTACCCCTCTGAGGACAGGGAGGTTAAAAATCTTGCAGGATTTACGGTCAATCATATTTCCAACATGGCAGGAACATTGGCAGGTGTGCAGATCACAAACTGGGTTGCATCCTTCCATATGAGAAGGTGCAAGGTATATCCCCAGTGGTTTCTTAGATATTGATGATGGTTTCGATAGACGTTGCTAGAGCTTCACTACAAACCCTCCCGGATTTATCGTGAAACACACTGTGGAGAAGTACACTTTTGACAAGTTGTGAAGGATCAGCACACAGTCCTTAATAGGAGCACTCAGTTCCCTTAAATGAACCTTCTTCAGACCCCAGATAAAAAATCTCCTCATCCACCACATAAGAATGCTGTCCCAGGGAGAACTATTTAGGTAGTTGGGTATGGCACCTGACTGTCCTCTTCCTTGCATAGGATCAGGGGGTGTAGAGGTAATCACACTGTCTGTTCCTGTAGCTTTAAAAGTTGAAGCTGCTTTCAGGCCTTACACTGGGCTGGCTTCTTCCCTTACTGACAGGCTGTCCTTCCCCAACAGACTGTAGAACTGTAGAGGCCCCTCTTTCCATCCCCCATCCTGAACCAGCAACACTTCTTCACTCCTTCTTCCATCCAACTCCCCTGCTGACCAGGCTCTCTCATACTCTCTCATATACATGGGCTGATCTCCCACACTGCCAGACCTCCTGTTTGGGATTTGTCAGTCTCCCATAAACATGCAGAAAAGATCCTACGCCCTTCCTCACCTCTTCCCACTGGCTTTTAGAAACATCTCTGAGTTTCTAGAGCAGGGGGAGGTACCAGAGGACTGACCTGTAGACCCCTCCATCCTTACCTAAAGTAACCTTGTTGACTCACACCCAGGCTTTTTGCACACACACACACACACACACACACACACCACACACACACACACACACACACATAATATCTCTTTATAATGGTTATATAGTTAGTCTGGCTGAAAAAAGTCCATCCAGTTCAACCATAAAAAAAAAAAAGTTATAATCCTATACCCACAGTTGATCCAGAGGCAGGCAAAAAAAAAAACCCAACGAAGCATGATCCAATTTGCTCCTGTAGGGGAAAAAATTATCTCCTGATCCCCCGAGAGGCAATCAGATATTTCCTGGATCAACTTTACCTATAAATGTTAGTAACGAGTTATATTCTGTTTATCCAAGAAAGAATCCAGACCTTTTTTAAAGCCATCCACTGAGCTGGACAAAACCAACTCTTGAGGGAGTCTATTCCACATTTTCACAGCTCTTACTGTGAAGAAACCTTTCCATATTTGTAGATTACATTTATTTTCCTCCAGACATAAATTACTAATGATTTTTACAGGGGTAATATGATATATCTCTCTCTGGAGTATATACCGTATTTTTCCGGCGTATAAGACGACTGAGCGTATAAGACGACCCCCTACTTTTCCTGTTTAAAATGTAGTGTTTGGGCTATACTCGCCGTATAAGACTACCCCTCTTCCAGTGCACACCAGTGGGAGGAATAGTGCCCCATCATTGGTGTCAGTGGGAGGAATAGTGTCCCATCATTGTGTCGGTGGGAGGAATAGTGCCCATCATTGGTGTCAGTGGGAGGAATAGTGCCCCATCATTGGTGTCAGTGGGAGGAATAGTGCCCCATCATTGGTATTAGTGGGAGGAATAGTGCCCCATCATTGGTGTCAGTGGGAGGAATAGTGCCCCATCATTGGTGTCAGTGGGAGGAATAGTGCCCCATCATTGGTATCAGTGGGAGGAATAGTGCCCCATCATTGGTATCAGTGGGAGGAATAGTGCCCCATCATTGGTGTCAGTGGGAGGAATAGTGCCCCATCATTGGTGTCAGTGGCAGGAATAGTGCCCCATCATTAGTATCAGTGGCAGGAATAGTGCCCCATCATTGGTGTCAGTGGGAGGAATAGCACCCCATCATTTAGTATCAGTGGCAGGAATAGTGCCCCATCATTGGTGTCAGTGGAAGGAGTAGTGCCCCATCATTGGTGTCAGTGGGAGGAATAGTGTCCCATCATTGGTATCAGTGGGAGGAATAGTGTCCCATCATTGGTATCAGTGGGAGGAATAGTGTCCCATCATTGGTGTCAGTGGGAGGAATAGTGTCCCATCACTGGTGTCAGGGAGGAATAGTGCCCCATCATTGGTATCAGTGGGAGGAATAGTGTCCCATCATTGGTGTCAATGGGAGGAATAGCGCCCCATCATTGGTATCAGTGGCAGGAATAGTGCCCCATCATTAGTATCATTGGGGGGGAGTAGCACCCCATCATTGGTGTCAGTGGAATAGTGCCCCATCTTTGGTGTCAGTGGGAGGAATAGTATCCCATCATTGGTGTCAGTGGGGGGGGGGGGGGGAGGAAAATAGTGCCCCATCGTTGGTGTCAGTGGGGGGGGAGGAATAGTATCCCATCATTGGTGTCAGTGGGGGGTGGAATAGTGCCCCATCATTGGTGTCAGTGGGGGGTGGATAGTGCCCCATCATTGGTGTCAGTGGGGGGGGGAGGAATAGTGCCCAATCGTTGGTGTCAGTGGGGGGGGGAGGAATAGTGCCCCATCGTTGGTGTCAGTGGGGGGGAGGAAAAGTGCCCCATCGTTGGTGTCAGTGGGAGGAATAATGCCCCATCATTGGTATCAGTGACACCAACGATGGGGCACTATTCCTCCCACTGACACTTGCTGACCTCTGTTCCATACGGTGCTGCTGCAGCCAGCATATGTGGTTGCAGCAGCACCTAAGCACGGCACACTTACCTTCATCTCCACTCGATTTTCGCGGGGCCGCTCAGCTCCACCTCCTCGCCGGTGATTGGCCGCCTGTGTGCCTTTCCTGAGCTACAGTTCTGGCGGCCAATCATTTTGGCGGAGCCGAGCAGCCGCGCGAACATCCAGTGGACGAACCGAAGGAAGGAGCAGCCGCGCTTCCTGGACCGGATTGTCGTGGGACCGGAGCCAGGTAAGAGACAGCAGCCCCTGCCCACCCCTGTCCCTTCCGTTGGACAACCGCGCCGCCCCCCTAAAAAGTGTCAGCATGCCGTTACCGGCGTATAAGACGACCCCCGACTTTTGAGAAGATTTTCAAGGGGTAAAAAGTCATCTTATACACCGGAAAATACGGTACCTCTTTTAATACAAGAGAGAATTTTGCTCGCTTTAGAAACCGTAGCTTGGCATTGCATGCCATTATTAGACCTATGATTTACCAGAACTCCCAGATCCTTCTCCACCATTGATTCCCCCAGTTGTACTCCCCTAGTATGTATGATGCATGCATACTCTTAGCTCCCAAGTGCATAATCTTACATTTATCAACATTAAACCTCATTTACCACATAGTTGCCCAATTAAACAGTGCATTGAGGTCGGCTTGCCAGTTGGAAACATCCTGTAAGGACATTATTCCACTGCAAAGCTTGGTGTCATCTGAAAAGACTGAAATGGTATTTTTATTCCCAGACCCTATATTGTTTATAAATATATTAAAAAGTAAGGGTCCCAACACTGAACCTTGGGGTACACCACTAACCACCCAAGACCATTCAGAGTATGAATCATTAACCACTACTCTTTGAATACGATCTTTTAGCCAGTTTTCTATCCATTTTCATTCAGATTTTTCCAAGCCCGTAGACTTTACCTTACAGAATAGTCATGTGTGGGGGGAACTGTGTCAAACGCTTTTGCAAAATCCAAGTATACCACGTCCACCGCCACCCTCTGTCCAAGTATACCAAGTCCACCGCCACCCTCTGTCCAAGTATACCACGTCCACCGCCATCCCTCTGTCCAAGTATACCACGTCCACCGCTCACCTCCTCATAAAAGAAATCAGATTTGTTTGATAACTTTTGTCTGTCATGAATCCATGCTGTCTGTTGCTTAAAATATTTTTTTATAGCAGGAATGCAGAAATATAAGTATTGCCATTTCTATTGTTTGGTAATACTTGGATGTATGTTTACGGTTTATTTTGTTTTTCCATTTAGTAGCTTCATGCTCATCAAGCACTTGTATCAGAATTAGATTCACAGATATACTGAACTGCTGGCCTAGCAGTAGAAGTAGATATGTGCATTTCATTAGGATTCGTTTTTTAGACGTAAATTTCATTTTTGGAGATTCAAATGTATACAAATCCCTGAATGCACATAGTAGCGAATGTCAACGAATCAAAACAAAAGTTATAACGACATTATAACGACATTAATAATGCATTTGTTTCATTTGTATGACATCACATAATGCGATAGTAATTGGGGAAATGAATTTGATTTTCAAATTTGTTTGATAGATCCATTCGTTACCCGAACTAGAATTAAATTTGGTTCCATTTGTTATTTCAGATGCACATGGTGCCAGTGAGTATTGTCTAATCAATCAGCTCAAGCCATTTCTCTTGGTTGGTTGGACTAGCTTCCGAATATATTGAATCCTTCCAATTCAAATAGTGATTCAATAATATATTGAATATTTAGGAATCTTCTGGAAAAACTGTAAAACTGCTAAATTTTTCAAAGCCACACAGACTAACAAATATACGAAACAAATGCTGAAAATATGAAAAATAGGTTCAACATAACAAATATGACAAAATTAAATTCTTTATTTTTTCATGCACATGTCTAAATAGAAGGCAAAACAAAACTGAAATAAAATACAAACTATGAAGCTCCGCAGGACAATCAACAAAGGAAAAATAGTGATGATTATTTCCTAACTGTAATTTCTGGGGTGTTTTGGGGGTTTCATACTGAACAATAAAACCACGCTACACCTATTTAAAAATGTTTGCAGATACACAGGTGCTCGAGAGACATCCAATATGGCTATTATAGAGGTGAAAATTTTGACTGGCTACATTCCTGTGAAAAGCTCATTAAGAGAGGTATGTCATTGCCATTTTTCTTTGTGTTTTCCTACTCTGGAGGAACCCTAGGGTTCCACAGAACCTTGAAAGTTTATTGAGTGTCACTTGAATGATCAGTTCTGAATTTTCTGGGCTAACTGACATGACTCCAAGATGATGATGCCCAGCAGCATTCTCAAGACTTTTGGATGGCTACTCTGTAAGTGGCGTCTACACAGACAGATCCTTTTATGTGTGAGAGTATAAAATATGACTGGGGTTTAGGGACTATAACATTTGGATTGTATGAAATATACAAAATGACACTGGGGCCATTCTAAAAATTATATAACCCCTTTACCACTCGAAAAAAAGGTCATACAATTTTCTCAGTCTGAAAATCAGAGCAGCAATCAAGCAGATATAAAGCACCAATTTTACAGCTTTGTGATACTCAGCTCCTTCTAGACATTTACTGACAAACATGGTGAAGGCAAGAAATGGTCAGGAAGACAAGAGAAGAGGTGATTTCTCTTCACAGGAAGGGCAATGGCTGATAAGAAGTTGCAAAGATGTTAAACATACCAAGAGACACCTTAGGAAGCATGAAAAATTCAAGGCATTACTAAACGCTACCTTAAAGAAGATGCTGACTTCGACTGCTGTGCGCTATCCTGAGTTTCAGAGTCAGTCCCCGTGTGACTGCTGAAAGTCTGAGAAAAGATTTGTCAGATGTGGGTATTTCAGCCCAGACAATAAGACGCACACTGCGTCCGTGCCAGAACTTTGAGGTTAGAATAAGAAGAGTCGAGAGTATGCCAAAAGTCACATCTTTGTGGGATAGTTTCATGTGGACTGATGAAAAGAAACAAAATTAGAACTGTTTGGGCCCATGGATCAACGCTATGTTTGGAGGAGGAAGAACAAGGCCTATGATGAACAAGAACATTTACTGTGAAGCATGGTGGAGGGTCAATCATGCTTTGGGGCTGTTTTGCTTCAGCAGGTACAGGGAAGCTTCAGCGTGTGCAAGGTTCATGAATTCTCTTCAGAAGGAGATATTGGATGGAAACGTGATGCATCCGTCACAGTGGCTTTGGGAGTGGTTAATACAATCAATGTGCCAAGTACTGACTACTCTGAAGAGTCATTTTGGATACATCGCAGTACCAGACTAAATCCGATTTGAGAACCTCTGGTGGGACTTAAAGAAAGCAGTTGCAGTACAAGCCTAAGAATGTGACTGGATGAGAAAATACATGCTGAAGACACTTGTGTCAAAAAAGTGTTATAACTGTAAAAGGATGACTTGGTACTATTTTAAGATTGAATGAGGTCACTTGGTTTAATGTAAAACTGATAATGCTGTGAGCACAGAAAAGACATTTGTGGTTTTTCATTATAACTGTTATGTAACTCCTACAAGTGCCTTAATGTAAATGTAAGCAAGATGACTGAATGATCAAAAGCAATGTCAAACTGGCCAAAACACTCAATTTCATTAGTTTGGTCACAACTGTATATAGGTGGGGTTATATATAATGTTATACAGAGGGGCCACCTAAAAAATATATTTTCAAAAAAAGCAGAATTCTGAATATCAGAACTAAGATATAAAGTCAAAAATAATTTATTTATTATAAGAATGTAACTTTGAAACTAAATCTATTAAAGTCACATTTCTGAAAGAAAAGTCCAAATTAATTATTAAAATTCAAAATCCTGAGTTTCAAAGTCAGAATTCAGACTCAAAAGTCACATTTCTCAGTGGAATTTCGAGAATGAAAGTCAGATCTTTGTTTCATAAATTTACTTGAGGATGGTCCCAGCCTAGTCATGGCAATGGTTACAATAGACATTTCACGATCATCAGACTTTTCTGATTTTAGAAGGATCATAATAATCATGCAAACAATCATGTGCGTAGAGTGCATAATACCTTCTAATACATAACAGTATTTTTCTCTACACAGCTGGAGAGAAAACATGTGATCCAAAGAAGTGAGATCAACAATGACTTGGTGACATTTTATCTGAATGAGGTTTGGGTTTACTGTATTTTGATTTTCGTGTTTATATCTAAACTCATTAAAGTATAACTAAAAATAGGTGTAGAAACAAACACTATTAGTTACAACAGGTAGTTCAAGGTGCCACCTACTGTACAAATAGCAGCACTGAATATTAAGTTAATATATTTAAAATGTAATAAACTAAATCTATTAATAACATTTTTCCAGAACCATAAAATTGGAAGCTACACAGTTTCATATGTAAACAGATGTAAAAATTTGCATGTCGGCACCTCTGATGGTCAATGCTTATCACTCTTATCTCAAAATTGGCGCAATAGAGTGAGAGCAGCTTAGTGCAATGAGCTTAGCAGTAAGCTTCTTCAGAACACTGAGATATTTTGAAGTCATGTAAATAAATTAACAAAATTAGCATCCACCTGAACCTTCAAATCAATATCTGCAGTAACAAAACACACAAAGATAATATATAAAATGTTGCTAGCACACACTTAGTAAATTAAAATTTCTACCACTGTATCGCTCACTCTCAGAGGAGCCACTGTCTATCGGACAGACAAAAGCCTAAAAGGATAAGACAAAAGGATAAGAAAAAGTGGAGCAACCAACAATGATAGTACAACTCAATAGAGCAGCTAAAGCAGCACATAATTTTTTATAAAAGAGACAATAATCAAATCTGTTATAAAAAAAAAAAGCAAACTATCTAGGTGACCTGAGTGAGATTTAAAGAAAACACCACTGGCCATTGTATCTAAATGCTGGCACTGGGGCCCTGGATCTCTCATTGCAGCACTCACTCACAAAAAGAGTATTGATACTCTGATGTGAAAAAAGTAGAGTGTGCAAGGCCAACTCTCTCCACAGGCAACAACTTTTAGCTGCATAAACATCAGAAGGGTCAGTATTAAATAAGTGGATAAACGGCCTCTCGCCACTCCCAGTGATCCTAATTCATCTTCATGAAGTCTGGTGAGTGGTCAGATTGCAAGCACATGGCTTTCCATTCAAGCCAGTGTTGGATGAAACTTCAGCCTTCTCCCTCCCTGGAGTCCTCAGCATCGGCACTACACAGTACCTCTAGTGGCTCAGTCCCTAGCAGGCACAAGGCAGTGACACAGCCACTGCTGAACACAGTGCAGAAGCTTTACCCAGAGCTCACAGTAGCTTTTCCACATACAGGTCCTTGTGGCCAGCACTCTCAGTCAACAATGGCAGCATCTCAGGCCTCACAACAGGCAGCACACAGCAGAATGGGGCAGTGCAGGTGTCAGTTCACACTATTGCTCCTCTCTGGGTCTTGTAGCAGCTCAGTCCACACAGGCAGGTGTGCAGCCTGGAGCTCTATACCTGTGTTCAATTACCTTTTTCTCGGGTAGCAGCCAGCCATAGTTCCTTTTCTGCTTCTTGCCTCAGTCTACAGTGTACTCCACAGCCAGTGCCTGCAAGCTCTATTTCTCCAGGTGTGATTTTCTGCCCACCTTTGCTCTCATTTCTCTCTCCCCTCCATTTTGCTCTGCTTCATTCAGATGATTAAAATACGACTAAAATGGCATTTTAGTCAAAAGACTAAAATATGACTACGACTAAAACTAAATTGAAATTTGACGTAAAAATTAACATTGCACTAACACATAAGAATAAGTGTCTTAGATCTACTAAACTGCTGAAAGAAAAAAAATAAGAAAAAAAAAAGCTTTTCTTATTTTTTTTTTCTTAACCACTTGTCCTCCAGAGGATTTACCCCCCTTCCTGACCAGGCCATTTTTTGCAATACGGCGATGTGTTACTTTAACTGACAATTGCGCAGTCATGCAACGCTGCACCCAAATTAATTTTTTCCAACAAATGGAGTATTTGATTGCCTCTGCGTTTTTTATTTTTTGCGCTATAAACAAAAAAAGACCGACCATTTTGAAAAAAAAAAACAATATTTTTAACTTTTTGTTAATAAAAATATCCAGTAAAAAATTTAAAAAATTTAATTTCATCATAAATTTAGGCCAAAATGTATTCTGCTACATGTCTTTGCTAAAACAAAATCCCAATATGTGTAAATTAATTGGTTTACTTGAAAGTTACAGTGGGGATCAAACGTTTGGGCACCCCAGCTAAACATTTGTATTAATGTGCATAAAGAAGCCAAGGAAAGATGGAAAAATCTCCAAAAGGCATCAAATTACAGATTAGACATTCTTATAATATGTCAACAAAAGTTAGATTTTATTTCCATCATTTACACTTTCAAAATAACAGAAAACAAAAAAAATGGCGTCTGCAAAAGTTTGGGCACCCTGCAGAGTTAATAGCTTGTACTGCCCCCTTTGGCAAGTATCACAGCTTGTAAACACTTTTTGTAGCCAGCCAAGAGTCTTTCAATTCTTGTTTGAGGTATCTTTGCCCATTCTTCCTTACAAAAGTCTTCCAGTTCTTTGAGATTTCTGGGCTGTCTGTCACGCACTGCTCTTTTAAGGTCTATCCATAGATTTTCAATTATGTTGAGGTCAGGAGATTGTGAAGGCAATGGCAAAACCTTCAGTTTACGCCTCTTGATGTAATCCCCCGTGGATTTCGAGGTGTGTTTAGGATCATTATCCATTTGTAGAAGCCACCCTCTCTTTAACTTCATCTTTTTCACAGATGGCATCAAGTTACCATCCAAAATTTGCTGAAATTTTATTGAATCCATTTTCCCTTCTACTCGTGAGATGTTCCCTGTGCCACTGGCTGCAACACAACCCCAAAGCATGATTGATCCAACCCCATGCTTAACAGTTGGACAGAGGTTCTTTTCATTAAATTCTGTGCACCTTCTTCTCCAAACGTACCTTTGCTCATTCCGGCCAAAAAGTTCAATTTTAACCTCATCAGTCCACAGAACTTGTTTCCAAAATGCATCAGGCTTGTCTATATGTTCATTTGCAAAGTTCAAACGATGATTTTTGTGGTGAGGACGTAGAAGAGGTTTTCTTCTGATGACTCTTCCATGAAGACCATATTTGTACAAGTATCTCTTTATAGTGGAATAGTGTACCACAACTCCAGTGTCTGCCAGATCTTTCTGGAGGGATCGTGCAGTCAAACGTGGGTTTTGAATTGTTTTTCTCACAATCCTGCGAGCTGTTCTGTCTGATATTTTTCTTGGTCTTCCAGATCTTGCTTTAACTTCCACTGTTCCTGATGACTGTCATTTCTTAATTACATTCCAAACAGAGGATATTGACATCTGAAAATGCTTTGCTATCTTCTTATAGCCTTCTCCAGCTTTGTGAGCGTCAACTATTTTCAGTTTCAGTTTTCTAGACAACTGCTTAAAAGAACCCATGGTGCTGATTGTTGGGGCAAGGTCAGATGAGTCTGGGCATTTAAAACCTTTGAGATTGACATCACCTGGTCTTCCCAGACGATGATTGAGAACAATCCATGACACTGGCAGGTCTCAGCTTTGCAAAGGGGGCAGTGCATGCTATAAATTCTGCAGGGTGCCCAAACTTTTGCAGATGCCATTTTTTTTGTTTTCTGTTATTTTGAAAGTGTAAATGATGGAAATAAAATCTAACTTTTGTTGACATATTATAAGAATGTCTAATCTGTAATTTGATGCCTTTTGGAGATTTTTCCATCTTTCCTTGGCTTTTTTATGCACATTAATACAAATTTTTAGCTGGGGTGCCCAAACTTTCGATCCCCACTGTATAGTGTCTACAAATGGCAGTATATATACTGTAATTTTGTATTTTTTTAAATACTAGTAATGGTGGTGATCAGCGACTCATGGCGGGACTGCGGTGGGACACTGGAGGGGGGGGGGGGACTAACTGCCACTGACATCCCCAGTGACACTAATACAGTGATCAGTGCTAATAAAAAGCACTGACACTGTACTAATGGCACTGGACAGGAAGGGGTTAACATCTGGGGCTCTCAAAGGGTTAACTGTGTGCGGTTTACTATGTAAGCATGCTGCTTTGTATTGCTCTGCTATGCAGAGCAATACAAAGCAGCATGTTGGTGCTGATAAGGGAGAGATCTGTATTGTTTACATACAGACCTCTCCCCTGTCAGTGTTCCTCGGCAATTACCGGGTGCCAGCCAGGACCCGGTGACCAAGAGCTGTAGCCAACCAACCAACCAACCAACCGTGCGCGCCCCCCTACCCAGAAATGCAAAATCATGTATATATACATGATTTTGCACAGCCTTGCCGCCCTGTAGTAGTAGTTCTGCTATAGAGTGGTCGGGAAGCGGTTAAGATTTCATGCTGGTAATATATTCAAGTAATATGTGCAAAGACATTACAGGCAATAGAGTTTACAGTTTTTTTGTGTTTTTTTATATTTTAAAGTTGCACTTCTATTTGTCAAAAAAGCAATATTTTTGTTTGTTTTTGAAACTAGGTTATATTGATAAAGACGTTATATGCCACAATGACTAAATCTGTGTCTGTGTCCCTGGGACACAGCGGATCACCGATCAGTGGAAAGAGCCGATGTCTTTGCCTCTGTCATGTGATTAGCTGTGTCCAATCACAGCTGATCGCATGTAAATAAGGAAATGCCGGTTGTCTGCATTTATCTCCTCACGAGCTGTCACGCTGACAGCCGTGAGGGGAGGAGAGCCGGTAATCGGCATTCCTCAGAGGGGACATCTACACTGATCATAAAGGCACTGTTGATCAGTGCCCTGATGATCAGTGTAGCCCCATCAGTGCCACCTGTCAGTATCCATCAATGCCACCTGTCATTGCCCATCGATGCCACATATCAGTTTCTACCAGTGCACACCTATCAGTGCCATCTATCAGTGCCACCTATCAGTGCCAGTCAGTCAGTGCCACCTATCAGTGCCACCTATCAGTGCCCCTCATTGCCACCTTTCAGTGCCACCTAACAGTGCCCGTCAGTGCTGCCTATCAGTGCTGCCTGACAGTGGCATATATGAGTACTGCCTTTCAGTGCCCGTCAGTGATGTC